AAACCCCTTTTATTAGAATTGTAATCAATAGGTAATAAAGTATATTTATCTTGCATTTATTAATGTGTTTTGTGAGGTCCTTTGTTGTTTATATGTATATATACACAGAATTGTTCTTCTTGGGAAACAAAAGATCTAGTAGTCACTTTTTTGTGACACTAATTGAAGAGACTTGTGAAATGTATGACAGAGGAGCACCAGCGGACCTTTTGTCACCAAAGTGCGGCCAGGTAGAAAAGTCAGCCTATTGCTTCAGAAGGCTATAGAAAGTGCTCAAAGGGAAGTGAGGCAAGTAAAGAGTGTAAGTTGTAGCTAACCCTAAAAAGCACTGAGGAAAATCTGACTTTCTGCCTAGCCTGGGAGAAGGACTAAGAAAATGCTGAACTGTAAGCAGTGAAGCCTAGCCAGATATGCTTGTCTAAAACCTGATGTTGAAGCCTGAACGAAGTATGAGTTGCAAATACTTGGCTCACATATGTGTATATTCATTTTTTCCTTTGTTAAACTAGATTTTCTCTTTGTTTTTCACTGTTGTGCATTTTAGCTTTTTCACAACTCATACCTTTTAACTGTTTATAATATGATTCTTTGGAGACTGAGAAGAAAAGGCCAAATGGAGAGCTGCAACTTTTCCACTTATGCTATATTATGAATTCATTAAAAATTACATTTCTTTGAAAGCTGCTGCTGGCCTGCAACAGTGCCAGGAAAGCAGCTGCTCTGAATGCTGAGACTCAAAGAGAGCTCTTAGTTTGTCACTGAGCTGAGAAACCACTCCACTGTGGTGATTTTGTTATGGCTACTATAAGTAAAGAAGCTTCAATCTGAAGCACTCAGCTTGCTGAGGTATAAAACGCCAACCCAGGTCAAATTGTCCAGGATTACAGGACACTTAAGAAAGTACTGGGCAGTGGGCAAGACAGGTAACACCACCAGCCACCTTTTCTCAATTGAGAAAAAGCTTTGCAATTAGTCAATAAAAGTGCATAGGAGATGTCTCTAGCAGTCTCTCTCTTTCTCGTATTATGTGTAAATGCATATAAAATGGTTGAGGATGTACAGTTAAAATTGACTTCCATAAGGATATTGATAGGGGTTTTGTGCAAATTTGCACTGAACTAACATGGCTGTAGTGTTTTAAGTCAGCTTAGTACCTTCAATGTATCTTCAGATCCCAAGTGTGGAATGTCAGTGTAACAATGTATTGGATAGGCAAACCTTAGATATACCACTCACTTGACAGTTAAAGTGCACGGTTGCATCATGATAACATGGACACAGATGGCAATCAGTTTGGTATGGCCAAACTGACTGTGTCTGTGTCATCAGTTACTGAGGACAGAATGGAGATCACTCCCATGACATCAATGTAACATAATATTTATTTTAAAAGGATAAAACCTGGCAACATATATTTGCTTTTCACTTGACATAGTATTGTTTCTCTCACAGAAATCTTTGTTTTGCTTTGCAATTGAGTATGTCTACCCAGCAAATAGTTACATTAATAACAAACAGCTGTGACAAATGCCCATGAAAGTTCTGGAGATGGAGTGTGGCGATCTGGAAATCAGAAGCAGAAAAAAAGTTTGTGAACTATTCATGTTTCTTATATCTCAGCTTCTCCAGAGCATTTCAAAGTTATATTCTTGCTTTGAGATGACCATGCCATCTCCTCACCTTAATTTTCCCCTATCAGGTTATTTCTGTGATTATGATGCATACGCTGTATCCCTTTTTACTGCATTCCCAGGTGCAACGGCAGGATTATTTTTGCTTTTTCTCATGAGAACACACCTGCTTTTCTTGCTTCTCCTCATTGTGAGTTTCTCCCCCTCTCCCAGCCAGTTTTTTTTTGGGGGGCAGATTATGGGATGCAGTGAGACTAGTTTACAATATCAATTGTTAGCTTGCTTGGGGTTTGGTTTTCACTGTAGGCATGTACTAGTGGCTAAGAACTATACACTCCACAGAATGCACTGGAACCCTTGGGTGGCCCAAGTATCCAGAATGAATGTGCTTGTTTTCTTCTGCTTAAATTGCCTGCATCCTTTTACTAAATTTTCAATAAACTTTAATAGTGCTGATCTAAAGAAAAATACTATATTGAAAACAAATTTTAAATTAGGGAAGAAAACTACAGTTTTTTTTCCCACTCTTTCCCAGTCATATGAAAATTTCGCTAAACAAAAAGCTATACAGGACATTGTTATACAGGACATTTCTGCAGAGCCTAAAGGGCTGCAAAACTATGACTCCCTGGAAGCACCATGTTGCAGAGTTCAAATTATTTTTCCAGTGGCTAGGGCTGGATCTTGAAGACACTCAGGCAGCTAAAACTGCCAAAGAGTAAGTGGAAAAGTGAAGAGGACATATATCTTCCACCACAGCACTCCTTACCATCACTTGAAAACAACAGCCAAAATCCTTTAGGGATACATGTGAACACAACAGCAGCTCCTTCATTCTAAGGGCCATATGTACTGGGGTCTGGTATAACAGAATGGGAGGAAGCAGTGTGCCATGACAATATGTATCAATTAGTCATCATATACAAAGCACAAGGGCAGCCTGAATTTCAGTCTCCTCATCATCTCAAAGTGCCAGAAGATTTTGGGATGAATCCATGGGAAAACAAGGAGACGAGGCAAAAGGGAAGAAGGGCTCATCGCATATCATACCAATACTTCCAGCAGTTCCCAACATAACCACAGCCAGCAGCAAAGGTGGTTTGAGAATGTGGACTATGGTACTAGAGGATGCGGCTGAACTAATCTTCTTTGTACTGGTGCCAAAGCGAGGACGTTGGAATGGCCAAAAATTTCAGATACATTAGAATCAATGAAGTTGGAGAGGTGTAAATGCGTTGATAGATACATTTGTACATACTGTACAGCAGAAGGGATGAACAATGGAATGCTCATTTTTCATCTGTAAGGGAGCAAGTATGGTGGATTATATGCTAGTTTCTGAGATATACACAAATAACATGTTTTCAAGTTTCATCAGAAATAGGATGCGACCTTGACAGCTTTCCGTGGAACTGCAGATGGAACAAGTAGAAATTGAAGGACCACACATATCTACAGAAACGCACCTTGGAGAAAATGTAAAAAGGTTTTGTATTTTTTAACTCTGTGCCCATAGATGTCTCTCTCTGATTTTTCTACCTTGCATTCACCCGTATGTTTTGAAATGTGTCGTAACTCATTTCTTTCGAGATGTAATAAAATCTCCGTCCTCCTCAGACATCATCCCGTCTATCTGCTTGGTTCATATACCACAGTGTTCCCAGTTGAGGAAGAGGGAAGCAAGCCATTAGATTTGGAGTCCTTTGTTTGTTTGTTTGTTTGCTTGGTTTTTCTCCCCCCCTTCCTAGACCAAGGGATGGAAACAGAACTGACACCAGAATTCCTCCCATTTGTTGTATAAGCAGGGGTTCCTTTCATCTTTGATGCATGAAGGAGGGGAGATTGTGGCAGCTACTAATTCAAAGGAGCTTTTCTTACAGGCTGGCCAGGGAGTAAGCTTTGCAAAAGTGAAAAATGACTAGAGGACTTGGGTGTATTTGCTAATGTCAGACAACCAGAATCATATTTGATTTGGCTAGTTTTGGCAATTCAGTCCATAAAAAAGACATGAGTTAGAAACTGTCAACAAAACTTTGGATAATGAAACCTGTAAAGGAGGGGGATTGCAAAGAAAAGCACAATTTCTCACTTTTTCACCCTGTAAGCAAAATGAATGCTGTTGGCCAAACAACTGGCTTTATCTATTTTCTGTACTGTTAATATATTTTGCCTTTTGTAACTCAGTTACTATAATTTTAAATGACCACTTCTAGCTGCCTAGTAAAAGACTGCTGTTGCTGCAGAAATGCTGTTTGTCTTTATCTCATTTTGGTATGTTTCAACTGATTTAGGCTGAAATACTTTGAAAATGGAAGTTCAGAAAAAAGAGCAGCAAATATATGCTGAGTGACCCTTCTAAAAGAATAAGAAGTAAAAAAAATATACAAGTCAACCAAAATGCACTTGCTACAAAAATATCTTGGATACAATTTTTAAAGAATGTACTGTACTTATAATTCTTTGGAAAATGCTAAATGAAAAGGGCACTTAGAATGATGCCAGTTCATAACTTAATAGTAAGGAGGAAGTCTATAGGAGGACTTATTTTGAGAGTTTAGGACCACCGACTGCCATTTAATATTGGTCTGGCAGACTTGTTTGGGGTATGTATTAAAAATATTACTAAATGAAGACAGTTGATACTGGTGTGATATTTAGGCTGTGTTATTATAAACTGTCAACCTGATGAATCAAGAATTCAAGTTTATGCAATCTTAACATTGTGCAAAAAACTTTGACAAATGGCTTAAACAATGGAATATTAAGTATGTGTGATGTTTTTGATTGTAGTCCTACACACCAGCCTATTACTGTGTGCAACCTGCAAGTCCTAACTCGGGAGATCAGATTTGCTTATCTCTTTGTTCCTTACTGTGCACTGTACCTCTATTCGAGGTCAAAGATAATCTCCACTCTTGTCAGCTCTAACTATGGAGTTGGAGGGCTAGAGGTGATGGACCTGAATTTGCAAAAGCCTATGAAACAGAGTCACAGTAATACCAGTAACATGGCTCTACAAAGGATAGCAGACTGCCTCTCATACCTCTGAGACTTATGAAGGCACAGTGAAGACTACTTCTCTCAAAAACAAACATTCTCAGAAAGGACCTAAGATTTTGAAGAAGTGATTGTGTGTGTGTGTGTGTGTGGGGGAAACAGTGGCAATTTTGGCACATTGTTTTGTGGCAAAAACAAATAGTACCTATTACGCTTATGCAGATCTCCTGTCTCTTATATTAATATTTTAATTCTACCATTTTCCATTGACAATCATTTCCAAATTATAGAAACAAAGATACAATAGAACCTCAGCTAAAAACAAGTTATCAATATCTTGAAAACAAGTAAGCACATTAGTATTGTTTTTACCTTATTGAGTTCTTCTATTCTACGGATCAAATATGGATTACTTGAAGAATTTTCGAAGTAGACATAATCTGGAAAAAAAGGATTTTTGAAGCATAAGGTTTTGAACAGTTAACTTATTTCTACAAAATGAATGCATTAGTTACACATAGCCTCCTTGAAAAGCACACTCCACTACAGGTACTTTTTACTTCCATACCTCACTGAAACACCATCACTCCATGACAGAGGCTTAGGTAGTAATGAGATTTCAAATCCCTTTTCCTCCATCTGGATTAATGCTGTAAAAGGGTGTTTACTCAATTTGTTACATGAATTTTTTAATCCCCCACAACCTTTGCCATTCTTCCTGGCTGCACAGATAAGGAACGTGCTACAGATGTGAAATTCAAGTAATGCCTTCACAAATTATCCCTGTGCAATAACATAATTTCTACTCTAGTCCAGGTGCCACTTTTTAAAGTAATAATCTCAAAACATAAAGATAAGGTTGGACCTAGTAAACATTGGTGAAGTGTGAGAACTGATTGACTTTTGAAAGTGAAAAAAATAAGTCAACATTAAACACTCCACTATAATTATCTGGTGTAACAGGCATACCATATAGAACGACAACACATATATCCATATCTTGTGCGAACACATCCTCCAAAAGAGGAGGAGCATACATCACATTTCTAGAAAACTAGCTACATTTCAGAGTAACCAAGTAAGAACTTTGAAATGTTTCATTTAAGAAGAACAAATTGTTTCCTCTAACAGTATACTCAGATGGTTCCAGAACAATAGTCTGGAAGCAGAAGAGGGTTAAGAACAAATACTCAGAGGTTTCAACATATTCAAGCAACTACAAGATATGTAGAAATACCAGAAGAAAGCCCATGGCCCAGGAGATGGCAACTCACCACAAAATTTGACATTTGGTGTTTCCATCTGACCAGACCACAAGCAGTGTATGAGAAGCCACAACAAATGCAAAGTTACATCTCAAACTGGTTCCTGTGTATTGTGCAGGTAATCCAGTCTCCTACCACAACACAAACCATGAAGCAGGATTGTAAAGCATTACATTTGTGTTATCTCCAATTCTCCTCACTTGTGCCCCTATGTACATATTTTCCTTTTTTCTTTTCAACAAGGGCACAAGGAAGGGAAGAACAGACTTGTAGAAAGAAATGCACAAAGGGGTTGTAGCCTTCATATATACAGAACCACTGCCTACCCCTTCTCATGACCTGCTGTCAGCCTTCTGTTATTTGCATTCTCTGTCCGGCCACCTCCAGTGCAGGACTGAGCAACGCAGAAACAGCAGCCCTGTGCAACAGAAGCAATAGGAACAGCTTCCTCTCATATTGGAAGGAAGAAGCACTTTGCATGTGGTGAAGGAGCTAGCAAATGAAAGGTAAGCTAATGAGGCTATCAAGCATGATAGAACTGTATTCACTGTATTCTCTTCTGTAATTTGTTTTGTTTTTGTGAGTCCTACTTGTATACCTAAAATATCAAATGTGAGGACAGAAAAGAGGAGAAGGTGATTAAAACAGGAAATTGGACAAAAATATTTCTCTGCTGAAATTTGTCAAGACACTTTTGTAGGTTACATAAAGCTTGCAGTAATTCTTTTATTGCTGAAGAAATGGATCATCACCACCACCATCCATTAGCCAAGCAATGGATGTCAAATAAAACAAGCCAATTCCATCATGAAACAAGGATTTTTAAATACTAGAGGCATTCTCACAGGATGATTACAGTAAAATAAAGTAAGAGGCAGGTGAGATCTCTGGTTAGGAGGAAACAGAAAGACAGCATTCAGAAGAAGTTAACATCAAAAGTGTGTTAAATAATCACATGCCATCAAGTCAATTCTGACTTATGGCAACCCTTTTCAAGGTTTTCCAGGTAGTGGTTTACCACTCTCTTCTCCTGGGGGCACACTGGGATTGTGCAGCATGCCAAAGCCCACATAGGCTGGCTCTACTTGTAGGAGACAAAGTGGGGAATCAAACCCCAATCTCTGGCTCCCCAGCCAGATACCTAAACCAATGATAAGATAAATCATTTGATTAGATAAACAAATTGGAGCTGTTAAAGTGACAAGGCAGCCTAAAACAAGTTTATATATACAGTGGTGCCTCACTTAGCGAGGTTAATCCGTTCCGGAAAAACTATCGCTAAGTGATTTCACCGTTAAGCGAAAAGAAAAAGCCCATAGAAACGCATTAAACCATGATTAATGCGTTCCTATGGGCTAAAAACTCACCTTTAAGCGAAGATCCTCCATAGAGGCGGCCATTTCTGGTGCCTCTTAAGCGAGGTATCCATTCCAGAAAACAGCGGGTGGCCATTTTGAAACCGCTGATCAGCTGTTATAAAAAGCCTTGCTTTGCTATGATCGGTTCCCCAAGCACGGAACTGATCATGGCAAAGCACCGCCAGCCAGCCAGCCCCGGACGCCCGTTCTCCATGGCTGGGTGAGAGCGAGGGGGACGGAGCGTGGCCGTCTCCAGCCAGCCAGGGCTCA